AAWATAWKACAAGCTAAAGGYAGCKGAAGGCTACCTTGAAGCTAAAAGAAACAAAARTCTAGTTAAAGSATAAATATAACACAAAGTAAGCCAAAAGTAGTTAAACATTTGCTAAATAGCTAAAGGCTTGGTAAAAGCTAAAACAAGCTGAACAATGGTAAAAACRTAAAAGTTGCAGACAGCTAGCTAAACGTTGCAATACGAATACTAAAAGATAAAATGAGCAGAATGATAGCTAAAACCTAAACCTATTAAAAGGTTAGTGAAAAACTAAAAGTAGCAAAAGGCTGCAAATAGCCACAAATAGCAGAAGACAAACAGAAGTTAAGCATGGCAGAACAGTAGCTAAAAAGTGAGTCTCAGAAGACTAGCTYAAAGTTAAAATGAGCAAAGCAAAAGCTAAAACCTAAAAATGCTGAAAGGCTAGTGAGCGGCTAAAAGTAGCAAAAAGCAGAATAAAACTAGAAAGTAAAAGTAGAAAAACTAGCTACAAGCTAAAAGTAGCAGAAAGCTAGCTAGAAGCTAAATGCTACAGAATAGTAGCTAGGTGCTAGCAGAAGGCTCAATAAATGTAACAATGCAATAGCTAAAATAAAAAAAACAGCAAAGGGCTGATGATTAGCTAAAATTATACAAGAAAACATCCAATAGCTGAAGCAGATGTAAATATAATTATATAATTCTAATTGACCTTGTATTCTGAAAAGTATAAAAGTTGCAAAAAGCCAAAGTCCTGGTGTCCATTTGAATGAGCTGAATATTTATGAACAGCTAAAATAGCACAATGTATGGATAAGTAGTTGGATTACAAATGAATGTATAGAACATTAAAACCATTAAACTGAGTGCTGACTCAGCATTCACACTAATTGTTAAAACAACCAAAAGCAGAACTTTAAAGGTCAGTAAAAATATCTGTAAAAGTCTGTAAAACTGTGGAGCATCACAGCAGTGTCCCTCAGTGGAGTGGCTTTAAACTTTTGCACAGCAGGAGCTGTACAGAAGCTCCAAACTCCTCCCTTTTAACCTTTAGGGTAAAATAAAAGTTCTGACGCTGAAGTTTAACTTTGATCCACCTGTAGGAATTTTAACAACAAAAAAGAAGATGTTTGTTTTATTGTTATTATGATGTTCCTGCACGCCCGCGATGACGTCGATATTAGCGCAACCATTTTGGTATTTATGCTAATAGCTAACCCGCTCGACCAATCACAGCMCTACTAGGATCACTCTCAGCCAATCAGCGGGGGAAGCTGTGACTCACCAAATAAGGAGAGACAGCACCAAATAAGGAAACGTTGTATCTCTTTATAAGGAGGGAAGTAGTTCCCCGGTTGTGGTATTATTCCGCCGTCTRATAAATTAATGTAAAAAATAAAAGTTTTTACGTGTTTCTGAACGTCACAGTGTGGAGTATTTCAACGTAACGTACGAACAGTGTGATATTTTTGAACCAACAGATCGATGTAAGCGATATATGTTTTTGTGAGTGCGGACTTTTTGACATGGCGGAGGCACAACGAGGGTGCTGTTCGCGCTTTCCTTTTTGAGAAAGTGCTCCGAAGAGGAGGGCGATCCAAACCGAGCTGGGCTTCACGGGTCTCCGGGGCAGCATCACCTTTGAAAGTTTGCATTAGTTATTTCCTGGAGTCTCCGAACCGTCACCGGGCCGGGGTTTGTTTACATTTTGCGACCCAGGCGCGTGTACGGTTCGGCGCGCTCCAGCTTCCTTCCCAGGGAGGCTGGCGTGAAGGAGACTCGGTTCGGTACAATATAATGTTACCCAGCCAGGTTGGATCTGGGTCAGCATCAGGTAGGGGCACTGCGGGACACGGTTCGGAGGTTGTCAGCGGCGGGATCCGTCCCGTCTTGGTCCGAGCGGGGCTACCGGGGGACAGCGGCGGAGCTCGGCAGGGGGACGCCGCCGGGATGCTCGGAGGCTCGCGAGGCGCCAGACCGGCGGGAAACGGGGCCGGGGTGAACCCGCTACACACCGCCGTCCAGGGCGGCATGATGGTGGGGCTGAACGCCGGCGTCGTGCTGCCCCACGGGGCCCGCTTCGACCCGGACCGAGACTGCGCTCCGATGTGCAGCGGCTCGGACAACGACTCGGACTCCGGAGACGACGACGACCCGGTGGGTTCYCTCGGGGACAGCCGGAGAGGGGTGAAGCGGGAGCGGGTGGAGCTGGAGGCCGCCGTGGCGGGGCAGGAGGTGGGAGTCGCCCCCGGAGGATACGGCATGGTGTCCGGAGGAGTCGCCGGGGCCAAGCCGGGGAAGAAGACACGTGGGCGGGTAAAAATAAAGATGGAGTTCATCGACAACAAGTTGAGACGGTACACCACCTTCAGCAAGAGGAAGACGGGCATCATGAAGAAGGTGAGTCCGGCGGAGCCTCTGGAGCCACAAAAAAGAGTTAATTATAAGGTTTAATATTTAATAACATTAAATAAACAATGAAAGAGCTGCTTCTAAACTCTTAACTTTTGTCAGTCTAAAATTAAAAAGTGATTTTTATTTATTTGCAGAATTAAAACTTGTTTTATTTATTAAATACATGTTTAGATATAATCTGAACAAGAAATGTTAAAGCTGCTGCTCAATATGGTCACCATGGTTACCATACACCTGCGTCTGTCACTCCCTGGTTGCCCATGATTGGCAGACAGAAAAGTAAGCRTCAAAACAAAGAGCTGATGTGCAAAAACTACATTTCGGTTCTTAAGTTTTAAACCATAAGTAAGAATTAAAAGACTCTTGTGGTCTCACATTTTAAATTTTAAGTCTACGGTGTGTTTTTGTGGGAGATACAAGTTTAAAAAGACCCTCCGCTTCCTGTTTTAAAGATGGCGCTTTGATCTGAAATCTGATGAAAGTCTATGGAAATTTGGGTGAGCGTGCTCCTCGGTCTGAGGGGATTTGAGAGAAAACTGTGAATCCTACAGCGGTGAGAAACGCATCAAGTCAAAGAAGAGACAAATTCACACATTTTGATGTATAACTTGTATGTGTACCGCAAAAAAAGTTGTGGGAGTAAAAGTACAAAAACTACTAGACGGATTTTTTTTAAAAATTCCTAAATCGAGAGCAAGAATAGACTCTCGTGGTCACATTTGTCAATTTTTAAAGAGTTTTATGTAGGAGATACGACAAGTTAAACAGCTGCTTTGTTTCCTGTTTTGGATTCAAAGTGAAATTTAATGGAAGTCTATGGAAGCTCGGCTGAGCGTGCTCCTCGTTCTGAGGCGATTTGAGAGAAAACTGTGAATCCTACAGCGGTGAGAGACACATTAGGTCAAAGAAGAGACAAATCTGCACGTTTTGATATATTTAATGTGTTCGTACAGCAAAAAGCTGTTGTAATAAAAGGATTTTGATCTTTTTTTTTTGTCCTAATTGATTTTTATAGMGGTTTAGTGCAGCATGCTAATGATGTTAGCACACGTCCCACTGGAGGATTACTCTTTACATCCAGGGATTATTTTTACAGACTCTATCAGTGTTCAAATGAAAAGCTAAAAGTGTCAGAAGGCTAGCTAAAATTTGTGAAACGGTAGGTAAAAGCTAAAATGAGCAAAAAATCTAAAAGTATTGAAATGCTATATAGAAGCTATTCTTAGCTTCTAAGTGCTAAAAGTTTAGCTAACAGTTTAAGTAGCAAAAGGTTGAATTAAACGGAAACATAGAAAAGCTAGCAGGAAGCTGAATGTAGCAGAACAGTAGCTGAGAGCTAAAAGTAGTAAAAGGCTAGATGTATCAGAAGGCTAGCTGCAAGCTAAAAGAAGCAAAACAGTTGRTAAAAGTAACGGTACAGTAGCTAAAATATGAAAGTAGCAAACGGATGAATACAAGTTAAAAGTAGCAACCTATTGAAATGTTAGCTAGAAGCTAATTGTGGCAAAATGATGCCGGTAGTTAAAAAAACCAATAGTAGCAAAATGATAGCTAAAAGTCACAAATTGCTAGCTGAAAGCTAAAAGTATTAATACAGTAGCTAAAATTATTTATTTTATATGTATTACAACTCATAATTGTTGTCAACAAAGCATGGCTCAGCAGATTTAGCCTTTAGTAGTGAAAGAGGCTTTTTGAAGTGGTTATTTTTGATCAGAGCTGAGGCAGACATGAAGAAAAAATGTTATTTTTTAGCAGGGTTTTGAAAGCTCTGTCAGCTTTAGTTTTTGTTTTGTTTTGTTTCGACCAAAAAAACCTCTTAAGTCAACCTCTAATGATATCACCGTTAGCCGTTAAAGATCATTAATTGCTGGTAATTACAGCCTTGATGAAGGTGGTAAACAGGCTMTATTGTTGGAGACGAAACACTTGTGGCACAAAGTGACTCAGTTGATGTGAGGAAGCCGGCGTATTACGACAGGCAGCGAGCTGGAAATAAACCTGAGCAAATGACAGCTCTATTTATGACCCAGTCCCCCCCACATACCCCCCTCACACACACACACGCACCACCACCACCACCCAGACCAACACACAGCTTTCCACATAAACTGACAGACTCACCTCTTCGTTGGGTTGAACCTGCGCGTTGCTCTCTAAAAGAAAAGCTTTCCTTCAGGGTGTTGCTGCRYCTTGTTTCTGTTAGCGAGGCTTTAGTTGGTTTCCCTGAGCACCGCTAACACTAACGGAGCTCTACCTGGTGTTTCCTGCATCGAAACAGTGTTTATACTGGCTAWATGTGAAATAAATACTACAGAAATACCACTAAAAGAAAAGTCAGAGTTTTACTCACTGACCTGTGGTGAGTAGCTGCCATCTTGAATTCTGAACTTTCCCACTTTTTCCAACAGGAAATTCCCATTAGTTTAAATTTACAACTTGTAAGTGGGAAGTTCCCACTTTCCCAGTACAGCTGGGCTGTAACGGAAATAAAATGAGAGTGCAGTGAAACAGAAGTTTTACACAGTAAATTGTGCTGGCTCCATCTAGTGGTGGGATGATGTCGTTTGATGTGTAAAATAATCAACGTGCATTATGGGAGATGTAGTTTATAATCAGTGCTAGCTTGTTTTTTTTTTTTATATACATTAATACGGGCCTTTTGCAGGCCACATAAAATGCTGTGGTGTGGCCTATTTGGCCCGTGGGCCTTGAGTTTGACTCGCATCGAAAAGATGACGAGGGGTTTGTTTAAAATAAATAAAAAGCCAAAGTTAAAAACCAAGACTATTTTATTTTAAGAAAAGTAACAGTTTTTGCGGAACCTTTAAATGAACACAACAGGAAACCTCACACGATCTGTTGATGCTTGAGGGTTAGGTTGTGTATGACTTTCAGCTACTACCATGCCGGATTTCAGCTGAGCGCGTCTGTGAACGTGTTTTGGTTTTAGCTGTTTTTGTTTCGTCTACGGTGGCCATGTTGAATTGGCTCAACTTAATCTGATTAAATGTTAAAGCTGCTGCCAGTGGCTCATGGGGGTCGCCGTGGTAAACACACACCTGTGCCTCTCGCTCCCACAGCACTCTTACCGAGACAGTCAGAAACACAGCCTAAAAAGTAAGCCTCAAACAACCAGTCGCTGCTTGAAAACTAAAGCTTTATTGGAAAAAAAAGAACTTTATTCAACAGAAGAGTCTCATCGTACATTTTTATTTTTTTTAATGTTTTTTGTCGGAGATGTGACAAATTTATAAAACCTTATGATGGAAACAAGATGGATACGATTATTGACGATTTGACCTTTTTTTTTAAGTTGAATTTTTTGCACAAAGTTATGACCTGATGAGCTGCTTTACCCTGACTTTAAATGAACTTTTTACCGTTTTTGTTTAGTGGAGGATTTTTCAGTCTTGTTTCCTCGAAGCACCTGCAGCCTCTCTGCACTCGTTTCTTCTTTTTCCCAGACTGTTGTCGTGGAAACTGCACTGTCTTTATGTAGGCCCTTGGCAACATGAACACAATTTGACACAACGTTGGGATGGAAATTATTATTATATATATATATTTTTTGTATTTTCTTCTTCAAATTGTTGCCCACACTGTGCCAACCATCACAGAAACTGACAGGTGGGTGGAGTGGGAAGATTCATGGTAGATTGGACTGGAACTAGGACTGATCCAGTTTAATTTAGAAGGATAAGAAGCAGAGAAAAGTCCTGTCTAATCTCAGAAAACGTGTGTGTGTGTGTGTGTGTGTGTGTGTGTGTGTGTGTGTGTG